TGCAAGGGTTGAGGAGAGTAAAAGGGTTCCACATCATTGTACTCGGGAACTTGAGTATGAGCCGGGGAAGCAAGAGGTTCCCTCGAGTCATCCGCATCATGAACCTCATTTGGGTTAAACGAGTTTGATGCGGACGTTGATGGCTTTAGGCGAGCATCAATTTCCTCCTTGACCGGGGCATGAACCTCTTTCAACATAGAGACTTTGAGGTCCGCAAACATTGAAAGAAGATCGGCCGCGGTCAAGGGGACATTCGGGTTAGTAGTAGCGGCAGGAGCAACGACCGGAGCACCAAGTGTCTCAGTCGCGGCGGGGGGTTGGTTTTGACCATCCCCCGCAATGGGTAGGCTACCTCCCTCATTCCCTAGATCGACCATATCCTCTAAGGTTGTAAAACCTTATATTAGAGCACGAGGCTCTGATACCAATTGAAAGGATCGATACGGTCGACTAGAGGGGGGGGTGAATAGGAGACTACAAATTTTAATCTTTCTTGTAGATTTTAAGGCTTAGCAGATAAAAGAGTTCACTAGATATGCAACTAGGTGAATGCAACCTATATGACAAGCAAGCTCCAAGAAGAAAAGCTAGGCAACAAACTACTTAGCAAGCCAACAAGCATACAACAACAAAGAAAGGTGCGGGAAAGGATTAACCACAAGTGAGACGAGGACGCGGATTTTAACCCGAAGTTCACTCTTCCTTGGGGAAGAGCTAATCTCCGTTTGGAGCGGTGCTAGAGCCAAAGCTTGCGGAATGCCACCAAAGGCTCACCGTATTCTCCTTCGAGTCACCCCCAATGGATGAGTCTCGAACCACTCAGGGTTGGTCTTGAAGGCGACCACCACACCTTTACAAACTTCTCCGGAGCACACCAAAAGAAAGGAAGCTTCTGGAGGAACCTCTAACCGCCTAGGAGCCCAAGCTCCAAGAGTAACAAGTCAATGGGGAAGAAATGTTGCGGGGAACACGATTTGGTTTGGTCAAGTTGTAGATCGGGTCTTGCTCTCCCAATCCCCAAAGTTTCAACAAGTATGGGTGGAGGGATTGAGAGTATTGAGCAAAATGGGGTGTAGTAGGGTTGAAGGTTGGAGGAGGAAGAAAGGCCTTTTATAGTGTTCATGGGCTGGTGGGGATTTCTGCCCGTTGGACCCCATGCGCACGGGCTAAGTCAGCCCCATGCGCACGGGGTATCCAGAGACAATCGCATCCCCCGTGCGCACGGGGGTCAAAAGACCCCGTGCGCACGGGCTAAGTTAGCCCCATGCGCACGGGGTATCCAGAGACAATCGCACCCCCCGTGCGCACGGGGGTCAAAAGACCCCGTGCGCATGGGGTACCCAGAGAGTTACCCAGTACCCCATGCGCATGAGGGTCAAAAGACCCCGTGCGCACGGGGTACCCAGAGAGTTACCCAGTACCCCGTGCACACGGGGTACCCAGTAACTTACTGTTGCAACTTTCTGAGTACCACAGCACACACACTAGGTTCATATGAGGTGGTTGGAGTGGGAAGGGTAAGAGAGTAAGGCTCGGCAAAGGCATTCCCACACAACATTTATCCACATAGACCCCTCTTAATAGTGCGGTCTTTCCTATGACTCAAAGCAAACCAAAACTAAACCTTCGAAGCGTCGAAAGACCACGCCTTTGTCCTTTTTGAAATGGGGGGTCGCACATCTCCATCACGGGCACTTAGAACCAATAACCTGAGATAAACTTTAGCAACCGATATTAGTTCAACTAACCACATCGTCATCACACCAAAATATAGCTTAAGTGTTGTTAGCACTTTCAATAGCGTTGAGAAAAGTGGCAGAGAGCTGGCTATGCTTGTGAGGAAGTTCCAGAAGTTTTCCAAGAGAAATCAATTTGGAAAGTCTTCAAAGTATGACTCGAAGAACACTTGAGAAGCTTTGATCGAGACTACGATAAGAGAACTTGTCACAAATGCAAGAAGCCAGGCCATTACATCGTTGACTGCCCCTTTGGAAAAAGGGCTCAAAGAAGAAGAAGTCTAGCAAGGATGACGACACTGATGAGAAAAAGAAGAAATCTTCAAAGTCTTCATCAAAGTCATCATCGAAGAAGAAAAGCGCCTCCGTCAGAGCTCGTGCTTTAATTGGGAAGGAAATGGATTCTGAGGAAGAACCTGAGGAAGCTGAGGAATCTAAGGAGGAATCCGACTCTAGGGTAGCAAGCTTGGCTCTCGCTACGCAGTTCTCAGCAAGTCCATCTTCGACCATGAAGAAAAGGGTGACTCCACCAACACTGAAGACTATGCTGACGACTACACTCCCACCTATTGCTTCATGGCAAGAGGTGACAAGGTAACCTCACGAGAAGCTTACTTTAGTAATTCAAGTGATGACGACTCTGAATGTGAAGCAAAACCTAGCTACAAAAAGCTTGCTAAAATTGCAATTGAACAACAAAGAGCTATGGAAAGATGCAAAAATTGTTAAACAAAAGTGATGAATATGTATTAAAGGGCCATATCTGTATGATACAAGCTTGTTAGCCATAATAGAACATATATACTAGTTTACTTTTCACACAAATAGAACCTTAGATGATCACCCTGACATGGTGAACTAATTTAGACCCAAGTAGAGACAATGACTATCAATGAGACAAATTGTAGCTAGCTACCAAGTAATAAAGATTGTATACCACGACAATGTGTATATCATTCCTTTTCCTACTCAAGGAACATAGATAAGTTAAGAAAATAATTTTACAATATGTATATAGAGCAAGAAAAAAAAAGAGTCATTAGAACACTACTCTTGGCACTAAGGTACAACTTTTTTTGCGGGTGAATAACTTGTATTACTCAACTCATAGAATTACAATCATGAGTAGCTAACTGGACAATTTCCTCAGAACCAGAACCCAACCAAGTCATGGTTCTACCTTTGGTACGAGCAAAATTAGCTAGACTGTCACTATTTATACGATGCAAGCTTGTTAGTCATAATAAAATATGATGCATTAGTTTGTTTTGCACGCAAATAGAACCTCGATGGTCACCATGACATGGTGAACTAGTTTTGACCCAAGCAGAGACACCGACTATCAATGAAACAACAATGATGTCCTTTTTTTATCATGCTCTAGCTACTAAAGAAATTTAGTTTTCCGAGATATACCCAGAGAGAGAACAAAAGGAATACACAAAATAGTTAGCACACCACTAATTTCCGCATAAGCTTCGATTTTAATGAGCATATATTGCGATATTAATATTGCATGCTTATTTTTTTACACGTCAAGGGGAAGGATCTCCAAGAGATGCCCATTTAATCATATCCATGCAAAAGCGTGATGACAAAAGAAATAGCTATCTACCATCTTTTTTCGGTGGAAACAATGGAAATGGTAGGATGTCTTTTATTGCCCGTTACGGTTCTAGAAACTTCGCTACAAAAGATACAAAGTATATGTGTTTATTGATACGGTATTTGCTGGATCCAGCCTGTATGAGAAGTTTAGTTCATGAACTTTAGTATGACACAATTTTCTCACCATTAATGGGTATTTACTATGTCATTACCACTAGAAAGAATGAGAACAATACAATGAAGACAATAAAATCACAAAATTAAAATATCGATTTCATAGGTATTCCATTGCCATTTTTTGCGCCTGAATTCAATTTCCATTATTATATGTATAAGCTAGTTACCTTTAATAGAACACAATGTATTAGTTTGTTTTTGCACACATATAGAACCGAATTGATCACCATGACGATGAAGTAATTTTAATTCGAGCAGAGACATACAACTATCAATGAGACAAAAAAAATACTTGGCTGCCAAGTATCAAGGTTTTCTACGACGACAATGTACCCATTTCTATCATGCTTTGCGTACTGTAGGAACATATACTAGTTAGGAAGCTATTTTCTCAGGAATCAGGATGTATCCATAAAAAAGGAACCCAATAGTCATCACAGTGTTACTGTCAACACTAAGATACGATTTCTAACGTGCTTATATTGCGACATTAATAATATATATGCTTATTATAACGCCAAGATACGTTTCTAACGTGCGTATATTGCGGCATTAATAATATATATACTACCTCCGTTTCAGTTTACAAGTCCTACACGTATATCTAGGTTGTCAATTTTATCACTCTAATATAAACTATATAACATAAAAATTATACCTTTTGAAAGTAGAAACTCGGAAGTTTATGTTGGTATATTTTTTGTAATATATGACTTGTATTAGGTCGGTCAAATTGATGACCTAGGGATACGTGCACGCCCTGTAAATTGAGAAAGAGGTAGTACTTATTATATTTTTTTACGCTTCACGGCGAAGGATCATCATGATATGCCCATTTAATCACATTCATGCAAAGCGGTTATCGATGACAACAAGCAACAACTATCTGCCATCTATTTTTCCATGACAAAAGTGGAAACGGCAATACGCCTATTATTGTCCGTTACATCTCTGAAAGCTTCGTGCTGCAAATAATACAAAATATTTGCTTTTATCAACACGGTGTTGGATCCAGCCATACATAACATATATCAGAAGAAATGTTCGGTAACCTTACCACATCACATTTTTCTCACCATATATATTGCGACACAAATATGTTTATACACCCCCTAATACAGACTTATTGTGTTTTATACAGCAAAAGATAAGGAAAGCAAATGAAAAAAATATATAGTACAAAAGCAAGGATAGAAAACCAATTTCAATATATATACATACATAAAACCAACGCAATTAACCTCTCTGGCTTCTCCATCCGTCCTCCGTTTCTTCTCCTTCCCCCTTCCCTCGATTAATACGCAAATACTTATTTCTCTCTCTCTCTCATATTCAACTCCCTTCTTCCACCTCGTCGGCGTCCTCCTCTTCTTCGATCTCTCCTCCCATTTCAACGCTCAGGGGAGAGGCGGCGGGTAGAAAGTCCCTGCTTTTGCGCCCCCGCAGCATGTGGCGCTAGCTGCGCTGGGGCCCCACGCCATGCAGAGCGGGCCCGCATCGCCGGCCCCGCCGGAGGACACACCGATGGCGGCGGCGGCGGCGGTGGCTGAGGTGGAGGTGATGGAGGAGGCTGACGGGGAGCAGGCGAAGGAGGATGCTGTGAAGGTGGCGGAGGCGCAGGCGGATAGGGGAGTGAAGAGGGGGCGGGGGCGACCGCGGCGGCGGCCCGTGGCCGTGGAGGGGAGCGGGGTGGTGATGGTGAAGCGGGAGCAGCTCGCGCGCTGCATGACGTGCCAGCTCTGCCACCGCCTGCTCCGCAACGCCGCCACCATCTCCGAGTGCCTTCACACATGTGAGTACCCCGCTCCACCGCTGCAACTAGTACGGCGCCGCCGCCGCCGGTAGCATCGAAGGCTTAAATCTTTACGAAGATTCCCGCGGTGTCGAGCATTGCGGCGGCGATTCGACGCGTTCTTGGGGCTCCGGATTCGGCCGTCGGCGACGTCGGTTTTGGTTGCGTCGAGCTCGCCATTCCCTGATCCGGGGATGCTGTATTGCCACCCCCTACATGGTTCTTGCATTGTTCATTGTTCTTGCGTGCGTCCGATTCTGGCGTTATGCTCGTGTCGCGGGTGCGCCTCTTGATTGCACGTCAATCTGGGGGACTCGTTCCTCGTGTTCGTTTCGTAACTTCCATGCTTGTAGATTCAATCTGCGGTTCAACGGATGGGTTTACGTAGATTTGTTATCTTTGTGCAAATCTGTCAACTGCTTTGGTGCGTATAATCTTGTTCAGATAGTTGTTTAGTTCCCCATTGCTACTATTCGTGATGTTATATTAACTTGCCGTGCTCTGGTCTGAGATAGCATCTAGCTCGAGTTCATGATTTATACTAATGCTGTAAGAGATTGGAATGATGATTTTAGCCTATTGCTTTGTTTTGCACGCGGGGTACTTGCAATGTTGGCCTGTAATTGGTGGAACAGTACACATTGCTTTGGGGTCCCCAATGTGGAATCACCGTTGTGTAAATATTTTCAAGCTATCTAATTATTATGCATGCATGAATTCAGTAATTGTAGTTGTTCATATCGTGTGTGCCCTTGAGATATTGTCAATCTTGATTTGTTTCTGGTGTTTGTAATTATTTCATTGTCACTTTGTTTAGATGTTAGGAGTGACATTGGTATCTCTTGGGCAGATGATTCAAGCTTTAAATCCTTGCAGTAAAATGATACATGAACCTGATCTATCACATAGTCACATCTATTGCTACAATGTTTCCTTTTACTTGATTTTGGTTAGGGTGTGACTATCATTTGAGCTCTGTCTCCTTTTTGTAAAATCTCTTCACCATTTTATCTAGCCAATTGTAGCTTTGTTCTAAAATAAGCTTCTTGGAAGACACCTCATTTTGATATATATCTGATACTAAAAAGTACAGTAGTTAGTTTATTAATGGCATTTTGGTAACTGGGAGGAAAGATAGGTGGTTTTGATCTATTGCGCACCTCCTCCTAGTTTATTTATTTATTTTTCTTGTTTTTTTAGATTGGCATGTGTGGATGTTAAGTAAATAACAGTTCCAAATTGGCTGATAGAAATATTATCTCCATTTTAACTTCTGAAAAAAAAACACGCACATCTTGTTGCTTTGCTTAAATCTGTAGGACACAGGAGTTTACTACAATGTTTTCCTATCCAATTTTTGTTATAAAAACATTGTTAATGATATTTTTTGTCGATCAACCTCCTTTGTTTAATTGTAACAGTTTTGGGGAATTTTATGCTATATGGTCAAGGCTAGAGTCAGGTTTCATTCATTTGCATGCATGATTTTCTTCCATGATGTACAGACACTTCAGAGCATTCTTTGTGTTTTCTACAGAAAGGAATTTTCACGCTGCAGTTTCTTTACCCCTCTATAATGAAGCACCAATGCTATGAAATCCACACATCTTGAGTCCTCACTATTTCGAACTTTTTTCTTGGCATCATGCAGTTTGTAGAAAGTGTATCTATAAGAAGCTTAATGATGAAGAGTGTGACCATTGTCCAGTATGTAAAATTGATCTCGGCTGCACCCCAATTGAGAAGCTTAGGTATTCTTCTCCTGATCTTATATTTTTGGGTGGGAGACACTGTATGAAGTTAAACTTTTGTTCTGTTAGATTGTTTGCTTTATCAAATGTTCTTTTACGTCTTCTAGTGTCATAATACATGTTTATTTGCTCTGTCTTTTTTTTACTTCACTGCTAAGTTCTCTTGATTGATTACTGTTAGCATCTATTTCCATTGTATAAAAATATGTTAAGAGTTAAATTTTGATCTTAAATCATCAAACAGATAGTTGGAATGAACTACAGATTGAAGGTAGTCAATAGCAGTATAAACGATTTACCCAGCTTTCTGAATAAAGCTGGAATATATATATAAGCTTTCTGAGCATCCTTCTGGATTGTTACACGCCAATGAACTGTACACCTGCAATTTGGCGAACTATCTTATATGATGTTAGAAATATACTTCCGTCTAAGGTTCCTACTATGACAATGCATTGTGGAACAGAATATTCCACTAAGCTTGATATAAAAATTGCTTATAAATATATGTATCCACTGTTGACCTCGAGTGTTCTTCATATCTGGCAGCATTTTATGTTTTCAATAACTGACACCATTTTAAGTGTTACTAATACCAAAACTTTGCTGTCATTATACCTCTGTTTCAAAATCTTTTCTCAAGCATTTGTTCATGGAGAAAACCATTTATATTGATCTGTATACTGGCAAAATGTAACTCTTTCTGTAGTAATGAATTGCTTTTCGTCTAAAATACTAGTGCTGTTTGCATAGTTTATTTTTCTGGATTTGCTTTTTGTGAGGTCATTTTTAGATATATTTTTATAGAATTCTATAGTATGAGACCGAGTATGTAATGTTTACTGACTTTAAATTGAGTATCTGTTTCCCTTATTTTCCTGCTAGGATCGGGACTTTATCATGTAGCTCTTCTGAATTGGGGGATTTTATTATGGTGAATGCTATTTTACATTCTAAACTTGTGCCTTTTCTTCTATTCATTTCTGTTATTTTGATTTTAGGGCTGATCACAATAAACAAGACGTGAGGTCAAAAATTTTCCCATTGAAAAGAAATAAGATCGGTGCTAAAGAATCTCCAGTTACACTGCCTATTAAAAGGAAAGAGAGGTCTATCTCTTCATTGGTGGTTGACACACCTCGAATAACAACGGGTTTGACTGGGCGCCGAACAAGAGCCGTTACTAGGAAGGCTGCCGCTGCATTACGTGGCCTTGGTCCTATCCTTGATCCTGTAGAAAGGGATAATGGTAGCGCCAATAAGCATCCTGATAATTTAAGCTTGCTGGACAGCTTGAGCAAAGTGCCTCAAACAAGAAGAAAGGTAAAAAAACGGCTGTAGCATCCTGACTGAATAATGTGCTTTTTAACATTTTTTTTCTTACTTTGCTGTTGTGTTTTGCATGAGCTACGTATATTTAGTGCATCATGTCATCAGTAGCAGTGATTATTATTTGCAGGCATCATCAATTGCAGAAACGTCAAGTCATAACTCTAATAAAGATAAAGCAGGTGATGATAAGGACTTGGACAAGGCAGATCTATGGAAACCTCTAAACTGTCTTGTAGAGGCTGCAAGCAAAACAAAGTCCTTCAGGTCAAGTCCATCTGTTAAGGGAGATCAGCCCAATGGATCTCCTAGTAGTGAACATGCTAGCAAAGAGAAGCCCGTGGAGAATCTACGGAAGACCAGATTTCAAGATGACAAGAAAGATGCTCCACAGCCAGTAATGCTTAAAAAGAAAGGGACTGGCCGGACGAAGAATGCAACTTCTGTTGCTGCAGCTAGCCAGAAGGCCCAGAATAGTAGGGCACTGAACCCCGTATGGTTCTCATTGATTGCCTCGTTTGAGCAGTAAGTCAAGATTATAGTATCAGTTATCTTCAATTCAGTGAAAACATTATCTTAGGTGTCTCCCACCTCCCCTTTGATCTTCTGTCATTCAAATATTTTCAGGAAAGGTGTCCCACCCTTGCCACAGATACCTGCCCATTATTTGAGAATAAAGTAAGCTCATGTTCCTCAGCTCTGCTGCTGATGATCTTATCTATCACAATAGTTCTTTAAATCCACATTTTAAATGGATGCTCTTGGCACTTGGTTATTGAACTTATATGGTATCTTTCTAATGGAATAGCATGAAAACTGTAAAATACCAAGGAAAGAATGCTAATAACCTGGATAGAAGAAAACTATGTCCAGAGATACTATGCCATGGTCTTAGGCGATGGTACCATGCAAGTATGAATTCATTTGCAAAATCTTATTTAGTTTCAGTTTCAAAGTATGTATCCTTCCAGTGGGTGGAAATTGGTGATCAGTTCATAATTGTGGATTTTGTCTAGCTCATAGAAGGGGGCACATGGAAGGGGCTTAGATTTGGAGATAAGCATAGCTGCACATCTTGTTCCTTTATGGTCTTCTAGTAATGCAGTTGTCACAACTTATAAGCTTGTTAAGTTGTTCTTTGCCACCTGCTGATCACTTTAGTCCGTTTGTACAAAATGTGTAAGTAACTTGGCTGAGGAGTCAAGTGAGCTTCAAAATTTCTCCTGTAAATACGCACCTAACTTTTTTGGCATATATTAAAGTAAAATACAACAAAATAGAAAAGTCAACTTACATAGTTTGATTAGTCTCCCCCCTTGTAGGTGCGGTCACTTGAATTTTTATTGTTGCAATCATCAGTTGTTTATGTTATGTTGCATCTATACATCTTTCAGTTTTTTCGGTTGTGGCTAATGCATTTTCTAATGATAGAGATGGAAGTATAGCCGCATCATCCATCCAAAGGTATATTATGCAGAAGCTCAGTCTTGGAAGTGAGTCTGAGGTGAGACTTCTACCTTTGCTTAATGTTTTACGAGTTGTCCAAAACTATGAGCATTATTTGTAGAAGAACACACATTATTGTAAAGTGGAATCAGCGTAAATTTTGGCTTGCTCTTAAATTTAGAAGTTTCATCTTAGAAGTAGAAGTCCAAACTCACCTGATGTTTACCAGCATTTCTTATCACCTTACTGCTGCTATAGCTATGCATCTAAGTTATTCTTCTTGAGTCCAGAACCACAGCTTGTGTGAACAGTACCTGATCTTGGTGTTTACAGGTTGAACTGAGCTGCTGCGGGCAGTCAATAAACCCCATACAACCGGTGCACAACCTGATGGATAGGTGGCTGAGGGTTGGCCCGTCGCGCCATTTGCAGACGTCGGTAGGCTCCTCTGGGGGAGAGTATGTGATGGTGATAACCTATGGGCGGCCGAAGTCTTGAGCGCACCATGTTGCGCCCGGCGATCTCCTGATGCGCCAGAAGGGTTGCGCCTTGCCCTGGGAAGGAAGAGGTCCTTGAAAGATAAAAGGGTTCTCTCTCCCAGTCGACATATACTGAAAAGAATGTGGCTGGCTCGTTCTGCAGCCAGCCCACCTTGTTGGTCTTGATCTGATGCTGTTGGATTCTCTTAGGGTTTATTCGATGTTCCCCTAGTTCGTTTTATACCCTTGTTATATACGGATGAAGTCTGTTGTTGTTCTAAACCTGGCGAAAGTTGACTTATGTTGAGGCTGGATAAAGTGATGGTATGTTTCAACCTTCGTCTGGAAGGGGTGAATGGTTGCAGTGCTCGGCTGCTTCCGGGCTGAAAGTTTCGTTCCAAAGGAGCGTCATGCCAATGGCTGATGGTCTGTTGGTTTAGTTTGATTCGTGCCTCGTCACTCCCACTGGAGTATTGTTCATTTGCAGTAATAGGTCTGATTTATATCTCGATTGGGAATCAGAAGCCAAAGAAATTTGAGTGCTGTTCTGCTCCTGGGTGCATATGCACCTGGTATGAACAGTAGTTTATTAAAAAAAGTTAACACATTTTGGAAGTTTCTGATTTTTTTAGATAAACATTAATTTTCACGATCCGGCGCACGGTGAAGTTTCTAGATGGTGTTAATTTTCACATTAATTTTCACAGTAGTTTATAAGCTCTGGACGGTGAAGTTTCTGATTGGGCGCCCTCGAACTATAGATGAACGATCCCACGAATAGTCCCTCGATCGGAAGGTCGAAAGCACGGTCTTTCTACGAGTTGCAAGCATACGGTCTTCACGATCCGGCAGTACTTCACCGTCCAGAGCTTGTAGTCGCCGGAGAATTAGAGAGGAGATTAGAACCACACTGGACTTCTAATTATGACGATTAGAGAATCTAGATCTAACTCAAATTGATCAACTAGGATCAACTAGAAATAGAGAACTAGAGGATGCTCCAAAACTTGTGTATCAAAAGTGGCCAAAATCACTAGTATATATACGTTGGCGGAGAGGGGAGGGGACGCAACAAGGGGGGAAGGATGCCTTCCCCCTTGAGAGAG